TTGTTCCTATAGGACGAGATGCCATAAATTGTCTCTGTAATCACAATCCTAATCAAGTTGGCTCTCCAACCTTTACCTTTTCCATTGCAATTCTTTGTTCCAACCTTTAGGGGTGTGCTAAACCTGGACCCACTTAAGAATACTACACCAAATTTTCTTTAACTTCTCACACTCAAAAACCAGATGATTCACAGTTTCGTCCTTGCCACAGAAGGACCATCTGATGTTATCAATGAAGCCAAATCTGCAAAGTCTACTTTTTGTTGCGAGCTTCTTGTGGCACGCAAGGCAAAACACCATCACCGCTCTTGGTCTAGCAATATTGTTACAAATAAGCCTACTCCAATTCACATCATGACAATTGACAAACAATTTATAAACAACTTTCATGTTGAACTTACCCTTGGAGCACATATGACCCCATAGATTAGAATTGTTTCAGATGAAGTCCTATTGATCTAAGATTTTCCTCATAATCCACGTACTATTAGCTTCAACTTTAACCTCCATTATATCTTTGTTCTTTAAGTAGTAAGCATGAACCCATTTGACCTACAAGCTATCGGTTTTGTTACAAATATTCCAGAGGAGCTTGACCATGGCACACTTATTCCACAAACTAATATCAATAATTCCCAGCCCACCATGCTTAATAGGCTTACACAAATTAGACCATACAACCAAACTCTTCCTACTAATAGTATCCTTACTCGTCCAGAGGAAAGAACGACAAATGCTATCAATCTTTCTAATCACACATTTGGGAAGCTAAAAACACATAAGCTAGTAGTTAGCTATAGCAAAAGAATTGCTTTTAATCAACTGGAGACACCCTGCATAACTCAACAGATTCGTAGACGAGTGACTAATATGACTTACAATCTTCTCTACTAAAATCATAGAGTGGAATATACTCAACTTCTTACATGTGATGGGAACTCCTAAATACTTGAAAGGGAGAGAACCTTCCTTGAATGTAGTCCACTGGAGAATGCGATCTTTAGTATAAGGGTCCACCGCATAAAAGTAAATCTTGCTCTTAATGTTATTGATCTTAATGCATGCCGAGTTTAAGAACTTTTAAAACGTATTGAGAATAAACTCCACGAAATGACTATCACCTCTGGAGAACAAGAGAACATCATCAGCAAACATCATATTAGTCAAGAGTAATTTCTCACACATAGAATGATGATTAAAATTTGGATTCAATTGCATTTGGTGCAAACAAAGATTGAGGTATTCCATTAAGATAGAAAAGAGGTAAGGGGAGATGGGATCCCCTTTCCTAATACCCCTTTTAGCAAGCAACAATTTAGAGGTGGAACCATTGACATTGAATCTGTATGAGACTGTAGAGATTGCAGCCATGATCCAATTATAAAATTGGAAGGAAGACCGATTTCCTGCATGATATTCTTTCAAAGCCTGCCAATTAACCATGTCATACGCTTTTTGCATGTTTAACTAAATCATACATCTTGGGGGGGGGGGGGGATTTTCTATTATAACCTTTTATGAGATCGTAAGCAAATAGAATATGGCTATGAATTTGCTAACCATGAATAAATGCAGCCTGATTTGGGCTCACAATACTCCAGTAACTTTAGCCAATCTAATAGTCAAAATCCTGGAGATAATTTTATACACAGTGGTACAAACTTAGATTTTCCAAAAGTCTTTAACACCAATTGCAAAAATCAGTCTTATGGATGAGAGAGACTAAAGTGGAGTTAAAGGCTTTGTACAAATAGCCTTTATTAAAGGAATCACGAATATAGCAACCAGATCTTGTTTAATGGTTACCCAACTGCTTTTGAAAATTTTGGCATCAAATCCATCTACACTAGGAGCTGATAAATCATTAATACCTTTAAGCGCCAGAAAAATCTCATCTTCAGTTAAAGGGGCCTCTAAACTATCTCTCTGCACTTTCTGGAGCCGGGGGCCTCTTCTCATGGCCTCTATGTCAATACAGTACAAGTTATCATCACACTTTCCCTTAAGGTCACCATAAAAATTCAAGATTTCTTCTTCAATGTCATGTTGAGAGGTTAAGTAGGTGCCATCATCTTTCATCAGCATATTAAGATATTTCTTATTCTGCTTTGATTTGACTGAAGTATGAAAAAAGGAATTATTTCCATCACTATATTTCAACCAATTTATTTTAGCTCTTTGTCTCAAAATAGACTTTTCTATGTCATTCCACTTCAAAAGGTCATCAATACAAATTTTAACATTCTGAATCTTGGAGATGTTCATCCTATCAACAACTATGGCATCTTGAGCTTTGGAGAGGTTGATCCTAGCTGCTATTACACTCTTCTTAGAAAGGATCAAGGACTTATTCAACTTATATAAAACATGTTTCAATCTATTTTACTTGTGCCAAAGGACGTAACTGGGTCTGCCAACCAGAGGAATATTCCAACTAGCATTGAATGCGTCAATGTAACCCTCAATACCAATCACACAATTGATAAATTTGAATCTAGCATGATGCTTAGAGGGGTCCTGATGGGTCATCAAACACAGGAGGGCATGGTCAGACACATGAGGGGGCATAATTTTCAGGATAATGTTTAGGTGAAGTTGGAACCAATCAGAGTTAGACAAGACTCTATCAATCCTAGAGTAAATGGTACCTATACAGTGTTTATTAGACTAAGTATAATACTCACCAATGCTATTGTAATATAGTGGGAGAACTAACTTTTGGTTTTGTGTTTTATTATAAATGTGCAGATAGCAAGAGTTGCCACCGACTTTTCTTTTATCCAATAAAAGAAAGGGTGAAAATAACAGGAAAGACCTTCGAGATATTTTGATTTCGGGGGGTAGGTTATGAAAAGGGAAGGTGTTAGCACCCTTTTCATCTGTAGTTATCTACGGACTCTTAATCGCTAGCTCACTTTGTTTTGAAAAATGCTTTGTGTTTGTGTTTTGAAAATATTTTGAAAATAACTAAGTACGACAACTTTGTAATGATTCTTGTATCAGTTAAGAATGTGTACAAAGTATTTGTTTTTGAAAATATTTTAGAGAAAGTGTTTGTGAAAAAGATGTTTTGAAATGTTCGCAAGCAAGCGATTAAGAACTATCTACCTGCTCAAAGTCTTTCATGTTATTTTCCTCCTCCTTTAGATAGTTTTATCCTACCATTAGTTAGTAGGAAGCCCTATCGTTGGATGTGAAGGGACAGGCGTGGGTCATCATACAATTATAAAGCCAACTCGTAGGGGCGCTTTAGCAATTTATCGTAAGGGACTAAGATCGTTTACCGAAGGCAGCATCAAAGGGTCATCGAGGTACTACGATCTTTTTAACCGAGGGTCTTTGCTAAAGTGTCGCCACGTTCGAGGGACATGATTGTTTTCCGAGGCAACAAGTGAGGTTACTCTAGAGGTACGTGTGTGAAGAGTGATTCATGTTCAATTATTTAGTCTTATAATTAGGGTTTTCTACTATTATTTTTATGTCTTGCCATACAAACCCTAGTTACTAGCAAAATAGAAATAATGAAAAGCAATAAAATGCGAGAAATAAAATTCTGTGCTATTACAAGGTTTTGGGAGTGGGGGTATAAAATAGTAAAAACGGGGGAAATAATAAAACTCTAATTAAGTTATTACAAACTGTAAGCAGATACATAATTGGAAAAATAATGAAATACGCGACAATAGTAAAGTACGCAAAGCGATAAAAAAGAAATTGTTTTGTGATTTTGCTTGATGAAAAAAGAGTTTATGATTAACCTAAGAACTAATTAATTTTAATTAATTAAAATAAAACTAGTTAATGAATTAAACCTAAAACCCAAATTGATTTTAATTGGAAAAAGAAGTGTTTCATGAAAAAACCTAAGAAACTAAATTAATTGATGAGATTAATTTAAATAAAAAAACATGATTAATTAAGTTAATTAAAAAAGGGGAAAATGATTAGTTAAGTTAATTAAAATCTAAAGTCTAAATTAATTTTAATTTTTTAAAAAAAAAAACTAATCTAATCATGTTAAAATAAATAAATAAAAGTTAGGAAAATAAAAAATAAATAAAAGTTAGGAAAATAAAAAAGGGAATTAGGCTTGTATTGAGGCAAACCAGGGGTGTGAATGGCAAAGGGAGTCCAGGCCCAAAGGAGAATATCCAGCGATCCAGTGTGCTGCTCCAAGAGGGTTCACCATGGGGAGACAACTAGAAGCGTTGAATTGGATGATGATGAGATCGGATGGCTGTGAATTGAGGGTGCATAGTTGATACGTGAGAGCTTGCTACGCTGGATCTGCAAACAGAGAAAATAGGTAAAAAAAATCATGAGCTTTAGGATCAAACCCACACCCCACACCCTGGGACATGTATGCCTTAACACGTGGTCACTTGCCATTGGAGTGACTGTACATCTAGTATATAAATCAAATCAATATAAATACAATATAAGGATGATGCCTGAACCGGAGAGGCATCGGAGCCTTAGCTCCGGTCGTCTTCTCCGGCTGCCCTCCTCAATTAAACATGCAAAACACAAAGAATTAGTGATCCAAAACATCATACTCCCCCTAAATCGAGGGCTGCAAGTTCAATGGAATGATTTTTGTGGCCTAAAAATATATGATTTTTGAGATATGGAGAAAAACGCATGAATCGGTGAAGCTATGGTTTTTGAGATATTATTATCATTTTTATATTGTAGCTCCATATAGACCTCATCATCATAATAATAGAAAATAAAGTATACCAGTGTACGAATATTTTTTTCTTACAACACCAAAATTATATGGCCGAAACTATACAAGATAATTTACTATACAATATATTTTTTGAACAAAGGTATTTTTACTCATTCTTTTTGAGCATGGATATTAACATTAGAGATCAAATCTTTTAGCATTAACCACCCTACAATCTTGGAGATACATTCTCCAATTCCTTGCCACCAGCACTGAGTGGATGCTCTGACTCTCCTACAACAGCCTACAAACATTAATCAACTTCTGCATGAATCGTGACAACTGTATTTACATTCAGCTACTTTCTAGCAAGCTCCTCAATTTGTTTCGAGCCTCTTCGGACAGAGAGCAGGCTCTGAATCTTTTCCTTTGTGATGGACATGATTCAACAATGCTTTCAACAGAGGACATGCAAATAAAAATTACAGTAAGATTATCTGTTGTGTGCAGGCACAATGCTTCTTTAACGAGCTCCCTGGAACATTATTGTGGGTCATCGTGCCTTCTTAATCCATGACGGACAAGACTAACTGCTTCTTGGCTTCCCAAATGCCATCACAACCAATGATTAAGAGGCGAGGCATAACCAAGTGACCACCTGAACATCGGGCTCGGCAGTAAGAGACGAGGCATAACCAAGTGGTGATTTTAAAGAATGATCAAATAAGCTCCTTTAAGTAAGAAGTCCTATCATAATGAAGCAACTGAAATCTGGAATTTACTAATATCAATGCCAGCTATATCAACTTTTTCATACAAAGCAAAACATGAAATTACAGTTACATAAACATAAACTTATGATTTTCTCTATCAATTTTATATGATTCTAAAGCTAAAGGAAAAAGAATGAACAAATCATTAAAACACCCATCTTGGTATTTTAGCTGCAAAAAAAGTAGATTTTATCTGCATCAAATCTAACAAACAAATCAGCGCACACGCGAATCTCACAAAACTGGATTAAAAATCGAATCCATACAAATCAACACAAAATCATCCAAAACAAAACAAAAAACAAATTTCCATCGAATCACTCAACCAAAACCCAATCCTTTCACATATCAAAACTCAATAATCAAAACCCAAAACAAAATTCCCAAAATGAATCACGATTCAAAAACAAACCCTTGAAATCAATTGAAGCCATCCGCTGCCCTGAAGCTTCAATCGAAATTCACGTCATTGCACCTTCATGGCCTTTATATTCAATATAGCATGTAACGGGGTAAGGTTTGAGCTCCTTTTTACTTAGAATACCGAACTGTTATTTTTCAGAGATGAAGCTAATACAATTTTTTATAAAACTCTAATTTTCTACCATTCCAAAATTGATTTGAATATAATTTTTAGCCAAATTTAAAGAGCATGTTACTTATCTTCGAGGTTCATGCGATTTTAACTTGATAAATCGGATAATTGTTTCATCCCGATATTATAACTTCATATTGATGTCAAAATGTAACATATTGTTGTGGAGTCAAAATGTGTAAGCTATGAGAAATGTTTCAATTGATGTCTTAGATTATATTCTATTAATAAAATAAAAAATAAATTTAACATTTTTTAAAAAAAGAGATAATAATAAAAATAAATAAATATTATAAAAAATAAATATATTATTTTTATTAATATTGCAAAATAATTTGTTGTTTAAAATATATTTTTTATGGCAAGTGATCTGAACTGATCAGACTTAGACCGTCACGGCTGCCTCCGAGCTGAAGTTTTGAACGAAGTGGGGGGTACCTGCAAGGCACTCCGATGCTGAAGTAAGTAAGAGCGCGAGCAGGCAAAGTGTGAGTATATGTGATAGAATGAATACCTGACCCTCTGGGAACAGAGGGTATTTATAGTCCCCAACGCTGGGCCAAGGTTCCTTCACTGGGCCGGGCAGGTTTGGCCTAATGGAGGAACTGCCAGGTTCTACGTGCGTAGTGGGGACCCGCACGTGGTCCCCTTCCTGGATGTCCTGCGTGAAGTGCGGGCGGACAAGGACGCGGTCTTTTCGGGGTCCCGTTGAGAGTGTAGTGGATCGTGTCTGCCGCTGGTGGAGTGCTCGAGCTGAGGTCGAGCTGGATAACACGAGGTCGAGGATGTCGCCCCAGTGAAGTATGTCGGGCATAGCTGTGGTCCTTAGGTCGGCGTGACCCATAGCAAGTCCGTTTGGATTGGGCCTTTATCGTTGCTTTTGGGCTAGCCCGGCCCAGTCCAGAACAGGAGCCCCCCAAGTCGTGGTTCCTTGAGTTAGGAGCCGTGACTTGATCTTAGGTCGCCTCCGTTGTGGGCCCCGTATCCGGACAAGAGATGCAGCTCCTCGTGGGATACTCGAGGGTTTCCCCGTATCGTGCTCGTGGACAGGTTCCCTGCGGGGAATGCTCGAGGGATTTCTCGGCAGCCTGCGTCTGTCGAGCACGCGAGGTCTCTTTTGGGAACTGCGCCGCCACCCTATGGAGGATAGGGTCATCATTGCCTAAGGGAGCTGTGCGTCGAGGAGGGGAACCCGTGGTTGCCCGAGGTGACGTTTGGTATTCCACGTCATCACTATAAATAGGGTCCTTGGGCCCCAGAACGTGTTTCCACTCTTCGCGCTTCTCCTCTTCACTCTGTTTCTGCTGTTGCTGTTCTTCCCAGATCCTTATAGGACCGCCGCGATCTCCGCCGCTGATTCCTTTCCTCCGTCGTCAAATTTCCTTCTTGATTCCAAGTAAGTGACTTGTCTCCTTTGTTTTTCTGTTGTGATGCATGATTTTTCGTCGTTTTTAGACATTTAGAGGCTGTACGCCTGGGATTAGCCCGGTAGATTCATATTTAGCTCGACGGATTCATACGTATGTCCGGCAAGCGCATGTTCGTGCCCGGTAAATGCATAGTTTAGGTTTTACTCTGTAGTGCTGCCCGGGATCTTCATGATCCAGGGCACCTAATTCATGATCGTGCCCGGTAGGCTCATAGCTCTAGCTCTAGGCTTCATGATTTTGCTCGCTATGTTCATACCCTGGGTCGATGTATTCATGAGTGACCGAGTTGTCGGTTTATTTAGGCGACTTGTAGGAGGACCTGTCGAGGTATCTGGGAGTCGGGGAGATGGCTGCTGTTTTTTGTTCCAAAACACCAACTTTGCAGTCGCGCGTGGAGCAACGTGGTTTGTCGTGCCCTTCATCTCGTCCGTTATGGCGAGCGTATGGTTTCGCGCCCAATTGATTGGTTTCCCGTGCTTTGTAGGTAACCATGGCAGACGAACCGTGCTCTTCAGGACGGCCCGAGGTGGAAGAGCAAAGTGCTGACGAGAATGTGAGTTTGGTTGACACCGTAGAGGACCCTCTGCTGGAATGGGTGGGTGCCGAACCTAGAGGGATAGCTTCGGTCTATAGTCGACGTAGCCGAAGGGCATACACTATCCTCGAGGCGGGCCACGACCAGCCCGGTTTCCAGAAGAATTTCGTGGTCACTCGGCCATCTTTCACTGCTCGAATTTGCTCGGTGTTCCCCGAGTACAGTTTCCCTATGTATGAGATTGCCTTTAAGGACCTTGGGTTACAGCTGCCCTTCAGCGATTTCCAGGTCGGGGTCTTCAGCCACCTGGGGCTGGCCCCGTCGCAGCTTCACCCCAATTCGCTCGCGTTTATCCGGGCATTTGAGCTGACTTATCATTTTCTGAGGATTGGGGCGACCATACCCCTCTTCTTCAGAGTCTTCCACCTCCAGCGGCAATCTCGGGGAGGAAAGCATAGCTGGGTTTCCCTGAAACAGTCGAAGAGACTTTTCAGGATGTACATGGACTCCGTGCGGGGTTTTAAAGACAAGTGGTATGTTGTGAGGCCGGTTACCACGGCAGGTTTAGAGTCCGTGTATGAGGAGGAAGCGGTCATAATCGACGAAGACGGGGAGGCCCTTTTGGACGGCGAAGGATGTCCGGTGTTAGGACGCACGGCCAAATTTCCCGTGCATTGGGTCTCGAGGCATTACGAGCACGGTACCGGGTATTACCATACGTCTGCGGGCGATATGAGCTCCGAAGACGAGAAGGCTTACGATACTCTTTGTCGGTATGTCGATAGCTTCCATCCCGCCAGATGGGCCATGAGGGAGGGGAAGATATTCTGGACGATGAAGGTTATCCGACCTTCGAGGCTCGACCAATTGACACGAAGGCACTCGTGGAGTGCCAGTCCTTTGGGCAGGCTGCGTGTTTGCTAGGTCGTTTATTGTTTGAATTTCTTCACTTGTTACTTGTTAGATTATTTGCTCGGCACTAACCCGGGTTCTTTCGTGCAGGTTCGATGGTTGGTCGAAGGGAGAGGCTCTTGAAGTTGTCCTGTGACAGGAAGGTGAATAGGAGGGTGGTGAGACCTCCTCAGGCGACGAGGATGGGCCCGCCACATAGCCCGGGCGTTTCTCAGGCGACGAGGGTGGACTCGCCACCTAGCTCGGGGGCTGCTTCAGGAGGGACTCCGGATGTTCAGGAGGTCGAGCCACATACCGACCTGATACAGAGAAAAAGGAATCGGGTGGAAAGTCAGCCGGAAGTCGGCGAGGACTCCAGCACTGTGAGGTCCTTCGGGTTGCCCCCTTGCTTTAAGGAGGAGGGTTTCTTCGAGGGATTTCCTCTGTCCGTGAATCCTGACGAAGCTGAAACCATCAGGCGGATGAACAAGGAAAGCCGGAGAAGGCACCTGGCCGTCAACATGGCCGGGCTGGTGAAGATGGTCGAAATGGCCGTTGTACTGGCCGAGGAGGGGGAGGATGCCGACCGTATCAAAGAGTTGGAACAGGAGAAAGCTGCCCTCACCTCGAGCTCGCGAAAGTTGAAGGCTGCTCTGGAGCGCTCCGAGGGAATGTTCCGCGAGCAAGCCGAGCTACTGGCGACGGAGACAGAGTTGCTGGCTCTTGAGAGAGAGAGCTCGGGGAAGCTGGCTAAGGAGAGGGACCTTTTTCGTGCGGATCGTGAACGACTGGAACTCGACAACGGGCGCCTTGCCAGAGAGGTCGAGGACCTAAAGGCTGATATGCTTCCTGCCGAGGATGAGTCAGAGGACACCGCTCTTCTGAGGAGTCGATCGGAACTGGTCGCTCGTATTCAACTTCTCGAGAGGGACTGTGTTAGAGCTATGATGGACGGCTTCGAAGCCGCGGTCAGCCAACTTTCCTTGTTAAATCCCGGCCTGAACACTGAAGGGGTGAGCCATATGTCGAAAATTATCGATGGTCAGGTTGTGCCTCCGCCCGACTCTCCTGTTGTTGGTGATGGTAGCTCGGGGGAAGCCGAAGTGTGAGATAGTGGTGGGGCCTGCGTGCCTCGTTGATGTTTGTTTTGGGCCTGCACGCCCGTTCACATTCTTTTGGGCCTGCGTGCCCGTTCTTTGTATTCCTGAATATTGCCGGCCTTTTTGGTCGGTTTACATCTTATTTGCTTTGTTGCCTACGGGCGTTTTGAATGAATGCTTTGTTTCAATTTTGATTGTTTGCCCGTGTTTGTATTTTACGTTTTTGCACAAAAATTGGCCTAAGTTATGGGCC